ATTATTATTATTATTATTATTATTATTTTGTGCATATTTTTGTATTTTATGGACATTTTTATGTTACTACTCAGTCCTTAGATTTTTGGCAAATGCCTTGAATCAAAGGAAAAAGGCTGCTTTCCTGGGCTCTGGAAAAATCTAATTTTCAACAACCCCTGGAAAACTTCTTGAATAGTCATTATTCTCATTACTATAAATATCCCTGTGATTCTGGACTACAGACTCACTTATTTAGCTTTATTAAATTTTCCATGAAAGTCATCTGTAGTGGTGCTCACGAAAAAGGATGGAGAGAGTGTGGTTGGTATCTCTGCATTTTGATTGGATGACCTCTAAACTCGCGAGGATCGGTTCATCAGATGCCGTCCTTTCCGTCAGACTCAATAGGTCCTTTGCAGCTAAGCAATCACGTGCTGATTAATTCACTGAGAGCAAATGAATGAACATTTTGATTCCCATGGGTGAAATTTTATACTGGACTGTAAACAAACTTTCTACAACCTGTTACGAGAGATCGTAATAAAACTGCATTTCGTGACACACTGGATACACATGTTTTCATTCAGTTCTTTACAAGTAGCTAAAAAGAATCACCAATTTAATGTAAAAAACAGACACGTGACCGTTAACTGYAAAGGGCCTATTAGATGGCAGTATCCTCGCGTGTTGTGATTGGTTAAAAGTTACGAATCTTGTGACGTTGCCGTGTGCTGTGGTTTCTAGGTAGGTTCGTTCGTGTGAAAATTTTCTTGTATTTCCAGGCTATTGTTTCGGCTGATCGTTCTATCGACAACCCAACATGGCAAGTACAAGATACATTACTACGCAGGTCACTGTTATCGTATCCTAAGCTCCTGACTGCTCTGTTCCCTGTTACAACGAGTGTGGATGGTATGGAGCCACAAGACATTACCGTGTATCAACTACTACAGGTATGGCTTACTCGCAAAAAATATCAGTCAAGCATTATGTTTTTTTGTTGTTGTTGTTGTTGTTTAGTGGCCGGGGGTGGG